AGAGGCAGCAGCACCTTTGCCAAAAGACAAAAAGGAAGTTGCAGAAAAGATGTATGGAAAGCCAAGTTCAGAGGAAAACCAGTTTACAGGGGAGCTGGAGAATCGCACTGGTTTACCTTGTCCAGATACCAATGTCTTATTGGACCCAGATAATTGCCATGAAAAACAAGTGTGTTCAAGGTGTAGCAAAACACTCTGTGATGAATCTGGATTATGTGACTGTTGCAAAAGCCCGGCTGGAGAGAAAGAAGATGAAACCAGGAAACACCCCAGAAGGAGCCTTCCTCCTCCTTTACATGAAAGAATAAAAGAAGGAGGGAAACTGTACAAATGTACGGAGTGTGCAGAAAGCTTTGGTACAAGCCTCTCTCTTGCTTTGCATAAAAAGATTCACAGAGCAGAGGATCCACACAAATGTCTGGATTGTGGAAAGACGTTCAGTCAGAAAAACCATTTTAATTCACATCAAAGGATCCAGGAAGACAGGAAGGAGCACCAATGCATCCCCTGTGGAAAGAGCTTCACAAATAGTGCAGCCCTTGTTTCCCACCAAAGCATCCATAGAGAGGAGAGATTATATCAATGCAGGGAGGGTAGAATGAGATTTACTCGGAGCAAGGAACCAAATTCCAGGAAAAAAAGCCCCACTGGGAAGAAATCATGTAAATGCCTGGAATGTGGGAAGAGCTTCAGCTCTGCAAGTGACCTCACTTGCCATAATAGGACTCATACAGGGGAAAAGCCGTTTTGTTGCACAGTGTGTGGAAAGAGCTTCGCACATAAAGGCCATTTCAATTCACATAAGAGGATCCACATGGGAGAGAAGCCATATAAATGCACAGAGTGTGGAAAATGCTTTAGTGCTTCAGTTACTCTTACTTCTCATAAGAGAATCCACACGGGGGAGAAACCCTATGAATGCCTGGGATGTGGAAAAAGCTTTAGCAGAAGTGGTGCTCTAACCTTACATAATAAGACGCATAAGTGGGAGAAACCTTATAAATGCCTGCAATGTGGAAAGAGTTTCAGTCAAAAAGTTCATCTTAAATCACACGAGATGATCCACATGCGGGGAAAACCATTTCAATGCATGGAGTGTGGAAAGAGCTTCCATTTCTCAGCAAACCTTACTTTCCATCACAGAATCCACATGGGGGAGAAGCCCTTTCCGTGCCTGCAGTGTGGAAAGCGCTTTGTTCTAGTGGCCTTCATGCCCACAAATGGATCCACACAGGGGAGAAACCGTACAAATGCCTAGAGTGTGGAAAGAGCTTCGGTAAATCCAGCCACCTAACTTTCCACAGAAGAATCCACACTGGAGAGAAACCATATCAATGCACTGAGTGTAAGAAGTGCTTCAGGAATCCATCTAGTCTTACTGTCCATAAAAGGACCCACACAGGTGAAAAGCCTTATAAGTGCCCTGAATGTGACAAATCCTTCACTAATTTGGGGAATCTCTATCGCCACAAAAGGCTCCACACTGGGGAGAAGCCATTTGAATGCCGCACATGTGGAAAGAACTTCAATACAAAAAATAGGTATATCACACATAGCAGGACCCACACTGGGGAGAAACCGTATCAGTGCCAGGAGTGTGGAAAATGCTTCACTGATTCTGGAGAACTGACGATCCATAAAAGGATTCACACAGGGGAGAAACCCTATAAGTGCACGGAGTGTGGCCTGAGTTTCAGGACAAGTGGTTGCCTTGGCAGCCACAAGAGGATCCACACTGGGGAGAAACCGTATACATGTCATGAGTACGGAAAAAGTTTTAGACATAATAATTCACCCAGGAACCATAGAATGCTTCACTCAGGGAAGAAACCCTATAAATGCCTGGAGTGTGGAAAATGTTTTTGTGTAAGTGGCAAGCTTACCTCCCACAATAGGATCCACACAGGAGAGAAACCGTATACGTGTCAAGAGTGCGGAAAAAGCTTTAGACATAATAATTCACTCAGGAGCCATAGAAGACTTCACTCTGGAGAAACCCTAAAAATGCCTCGACTGTGGAAAATGTTACAGAGAGAGTGATCAGCTTACCTCCCACAATAGGATCCACACAGGAGAGAAACCATAAATGCATTGAGTGTGGAAAGAGTTTCCGAGATGGTAGGAATCTTATGCCCCATAAAAGAATCTACACGGGAGAAGCTGTATCAGTGTGTGGAGTGTGGAAAAAAATGCAAAACTGGGAGTGACTTTAATCGCCATAAGAAGACACACAGTAGGAAATGACAACGCCAATTGGTTCATGTTGATTCTCAAAATTTGCTTCATCCCTATAGAAGTGTCCCAGGACTATGTAGAAATACATGGTATGTGGGAAGGGCTTCCAAAGGGGGACGAGCGGTCTGCCACCTCCAAGTGGTGTCCCCTGGATGCGCGAAGCCGTCAAACGCTGACCGTAACTGAGAGCAGACCCTCCGACGACAGGCCCACGCGACAGGCCGGCTGGAGTACTCAAATGCCGCATCAACATGGTGGAAACGTCCACTACATAACACACGTCCAATGCTACCGCGTTCGGGGGAACCGACGGGCGCAGGAGACCATTGGCCTGCGCCAAAAATCAACGTGGCCATTGGACATTAGCGGACCTCGCCCGAGGCGAGACAAACGCTGAAGAAAAAGAAGAAGAAGAAGAAGTGGGAAGGGCTTCCAAAGCAGCAGAAACTTTTTGACCCATTAAAAATAAGAGTTGTTTTGTATATTTAAGTCACTCCAGAACAAAGAAAAAATAGGATCTTTGGTGAGCACTTCACTGGGAATAAGAGATGCAAAAGAATGAACCATTGAAGCAATAGAAAACTCAAGGTGTTTTTGTCAGAAATGAACACTGGACATTTGGCATTGTGCCTGCACCATCTAATATTGATTGGGTTGAACTGATTTCTAGTCTGAGACTATGATATTGATTGTGTTTGTTTTCTGTTAAGGCCCTAACTTGTACAGGAGCTAAAGGCTTAGCTTACACATCTCAGATATGTTGGCTCAGGAATTCTGGAAGTTGAAGCCTACAGATCATAAAAGGGCCAAGGTTCACCATCCCTGATTTAAATAGAAGGATCCTTGGAGATTCAATTTAACAGGTTAAATTTAGAATTCAGCTTGCTAAATCAGAACTGCAAATGTACTATGGGACAAGGTAAAAGGCACAAATAGGAACGATTTGCACCTGTTCACCTTTAAAAAGAAGAAGTAAGCTGTTAGAAAAATGGGAAGTATCATGGAAAGGTTGCTATAGTACTGCTGAAGCAACAGTTATGAAAGTATGGTTACTCTGTGTATATGTTAGGATAGCTTTAAAGAGCTTTGCTAAGCTTTGTATTATGTACACTATGGCTAAGACGTTAGTGTTGTTGGAACAAATGTCCACCTGGGTCCAGTTCCAAGTGGGAAGAAAGACACTGGAAACATGGAGGTTGCTTGTAAGGATGGTTTTAATGTTTTAATGCTGGGTGATGTAATCTTCCCAGGTGCCATGTGGTGAGATGGGTAGAGGGCTAATCCTATCATGTCCTGAGGGCCATGTCTTAATCCCATCACCCTGGAGCTGAAGGTGGGGGCAGGGACTGCTTTGTCTTTAAAAACATGTGTCTCTTTTTCTCATCCAGGAAAATAGAATATTCTGCCTTTTTAATATTTTCTAGAATGTTTCATTTTTCTAGTAGAGGGGTGGGTCAGAGGTGGTATTCAGCAGGTTCTGACCAGTTCTGGAGAACCGGTAGTGGAAATTTTGAGTAGTTTGGAGAACTGGCAAACCCCGCCTCTGACTGGCCCCACCCCCATCTATTCTCCGCCTCCCAAGTCCCAGCTGATTGGCTGGGTCTTCTTTTGTTGCCCCTGCATGGGAGAACGGAGCTGGAAAGCAGGTTAGTGGAATGGGGTGGGAATGGAGATTTTACAGTATTGTTTCCCCTGCCATGCCACGCCACACCCGCCACACCACGCCATGCCCACTAAGCCATGCCTACAGAACCAGTAGTAAAATTTAAATCCCACCACTGGTGCTAACTTTCTACAGTGTAAAACAGGCAGGAATTACTGTAAATACTTTCCGATTCTGACTTGTAATCTGTGGGAAATGCTCTATGAAACCCAATGGTGGACATTGGTGGGATAAACAGGGTTTGAGTGGTATCTTTGGGTGCCACTTTTTCTGCAAATAATTTTATTGCTTACAATCTCCATCTCAATATGTTCAGTTTGAGGCACAGGCCCATCTGGTAACATGGCTGGTGGAGGGAAGGTAACAAAAACCCAAAGTGCCTTTGAGTTCAGAAGCATCTCTTCCCTTCTTTGAACCACCCCGGAAGTGCAATTCTTGAGAAGGAAACGGGGAATATGCCAGGAACTCTAACTCTGAAGCAGGGGTGGAATTCTACCAGTTCACACCTATTCGCTAGAACCGGTTGTTAACATTCTAAGCAGTTCGGAGAACTGGTTGTTAGAAGAAATTACTGGCCTAATCCTGTAAGGAAGGCAGGAAGGAAACATTCTGGTGTTGCTTACAAAAACTGCCTCTCCCTTAACCCTTAGTACATTCTTGGCAGGACTAGATTTCCTGTCTTAGAAATATCTCTGGAGTTTTTCTCCCCTCTTTTGCTGGTACTTTGCTTATGTGGAGTGACCATTCAAGGTTACAATGGCACTGGAAAAGGTGACTTATGACCCTTTTTCACACTTACAATTGTTGCAGCATCCCCACAGTCCTGAGAGGCCAGGCTAGGAGATGCCTGCCTCAATGTGAGTGATATTGAGTCGGCCATGCCCAGCCAATAATATGACCACTAAGCCATGTCCACCCAGTCACATGACTACCAAGCCATGCTCACCAACTAAGCCACACCCACAGAACTGGTTGTTAAAAAATTTGAATCCCACCCCCTGCTCTGAAGTATCCTCTATTAGGCTTGGAGCTGTTTAACTAGGAGAAATTCTTTTGGACTGTGTAGTGTAGTTTTTCCTCTAAACTTCAATACACTGTTAAATGTATGAAATATTTCTCAACTCAGACCTTTTAAATATTTAAATACTAGATCGATACCTGTGCTTCGCTATAAAACTATGTGATCGGGCTTACTTTTGGGGAGGAAAATAAGGAAAAAAAATTCTGTCTCTGCCTACCAGCATCTGTCAAAATTCATCTGGCTAGCGTCCTGTC